GGCCTGAACTCTGGGCCTGGGCACTGTCCCTCAGCTCTTCAGCTCAAGGCTAGCGCTCTACCACTTGAGCCACAGCGCCACTTCCGGCTTTTTGCTTGTGTGGTGCTGGGGAATCGAACCCAGGGCCTCAGACATGCAAGGCAAGCGCCTTACCACTGAGCCACCTTCCCAGCCCCATTGTGGCTGGGTTTTAAAGGGTCAAGCCACACACAGGTGGGCAGTGTATATGATAAGATAGCAAGCAGGTTTACAGAAGCAAAACTAGCAGTGATCACAAGGCAAAAGTTTTATTTCCAGGCTCCCCCTTTGTTTCATTCCCGATAAGGGTTGGTTTAGCTGACATTTACCAAAACATTCTGAACTTAGTACATCCAAAGTCAAACTACCTTCCAGGTTTCCTGATGCTTTCTGAGTTTCACTGTTATTTACCACACTTGTCTAAGTCCCTAATTTTCTCTTGAGTCTACTGAGAAGTTCCTTTAATAATTAACCTGGAGTTTCTACAAAGAGGTTCTGCCCTTAATACTTGTCCAATCCTTACAGTATGTGTTGGCAGTACAAATGAGAAGTTACTAGAAAGTAGATTTACAAAATGATGGATGATATTAATTGGGGTACGCTTCAGAGCTTGCAGACTTACTGGCTACTAAGCTCTGAGGTGAAGCACTCCTCTCCCAAGGGTGAGGGCTCAGGGGATAGTAAGTTCCCTGCATCAAGAGGGACTGTGGCCAGACAAGAGGAAGGACTTGCCAGTGAATGCCCTCATTTGGTGGTGGGCGCACCTCAGTCAGCACCCTCCCTCCTTGACAGGTGGCAACTTTAGTATCCACTGTAGTAAAAGTGGGAGTCTGGAGGCTGGGATAGTATTAGAGAAAGTCTCCCTATGTTGGAGTGAATGTAGAGGAAAGGTGGGAAGGAAACCAGCAGCATGTAAATGTAAGCAGTCAGACCTCATTGAGGCCACAAGAGGTGACAATATGGCTGGACACCCTCCACCCCAGTATTTATTTATTCTGGAATCCTAATCAGCTGGGATATAGCAAGTTGCTACTGTGCAAAAACTTTCTAAGCCAGGTGTCAGTGGCTCGCTCACGCCTGTAATCCTAGCTACTCAGGCTGAAAGCTGAGGATCAATATTCGAAGCCAGCCCAGGCAGGAAAAGTCCGTGATCTAGATACTCCAGTTAACGAGAAAAAAGCAAAAGTGGAGCTATGGCTCAAAATGGTAGAGCACTGCCTTGGGCAGAAGAGCTCAAGGGCAGCGCACAGGCCCTGATTATAAACCACTGTACCAGCACCAAAAAAAAAAAACGTGTTTCTAACAAAGACGCGCGGGAAGTCGCAAGTTTTCCCGCCACGGCAGGGGCGTGGCGATTGACGTAAGCGCTCCGCCTCCGCAAAGTGGCGGCCGGTGGGCTCCGCCCTTGCCTGTATGGCAACCCGCATGAGACCGGAAAGAGCTTGCCGGCTCCGCTCAGACCCTGTCAACAGCACGAGAACGGAAGCCGCGTGAAGACCCGCCCCTTCCGCTACGTGAATGCGACTGACTTCCTGAGTCGTGCTGCGTCCGCGACGGTAGTGACGCGTGTTGCCGGGAGCATGGCGGACGCCGGTTTGCGCCGCGTGGTTCCCAGCGATCTTTATCCCCTTGTGCTCGGCTTTCTGCGCGATAACCAGCTTTCGGAGGTGGCAAATAAGTTCGCCAAAGCGACAGGCGCTGTAAGTCCTGGATTTGGTATGGTGGGCTGGGTGGCAAGGCCTCAGGCCGTGTCTTGCTTCGGTATCCGAGTGAAGTCTTGGGGTCGGCCGGCCCAATGTCTACGAGGCCCATTGTTCTGAACTGTCGGGGATGACTATCCACGGTGAGCAAAGTCTGGGGCCTCGGCGCCTCTTGTCTCACCGGATCCGACCAGGTAGCGCCGAGTCTTGTTTTCTCTGCTGCCCGGTAGTGGCGGCAGCGTGCTACCCGCGTGGCTCAGATCACGTGCTAGCAGTGTGCGGAATATATAATGTAGCAATCCCAGTGGAGCTTAATTTTGTTGCCCAGAAACCCTGGAAAGAGTGACACACAACTGTTACTTTAGTTACACCAATTTAGGATGTTTCAAAGAAACACTTTACTTGTAATCGCAAAATGACCAAGAAAGTGAAAAGTGTTATCCATAGGAAAAGTCACTTGGGTGGTAGGTCTTTTAAGGTGGTAGATTTCTTCTTTATAATAGAATGAGGTTGCACAAGGAGAGGATCCAGCCAGCATCCTAAAGGATTCAATCTGGGACAGCTTGCCATATGATCTCACATAATTACCTTTTTTTTTTTTTTGGCCAATCCTAGGCTTAAACTCAGGGCCTGGGCTCTCTATTGAACCTCTCTCCAAGGCTAGTGCTCTGCCACTTGAGCCACAACACCACTTCAGCATTGTCTGTTTTTGTGGTGCTGAGGAATGGAACCCAGGACTTCATGCGTGCTAGGCAAGCACTCCACCACTAAGCCACATTCCCGGCCCTTATTTATTTATTTTTGAGACAGTGTATTGTGCTGTGTAGACTAGGTTGCTGTCAAACTCACAGTCCTGGCTTCAGTTCACACCTCTGTTCCTCAGCCTGACAATTTGATATATTTCCCAGACTAGTTTTAAACTCTTGATCCTCTTGTCTCAGCCTTCCAAGTAGCTGAGATTGCATGTGCCACTGCTCCTTGCTCCAGAAAAGCAATTCTTTTCTGTATACATATCAGTTTAGGATTTGTTTTTGTTTTTTGTCTTTTAGCTTGCCTGCAGGTTTTTGTGTGTTTTGTTTTTGTTTTTGGTGCTACTCCTGGGGCTTGAACTCAGGACCTTGGTGCTGTCCCTGAGCTTCTTTTACTCACAGGTAGTGCCCTCACAGCTCCACTTCTGGCTCCCTCCCCCCCTCAGATTAACATAATTTTATTAAAAAGTTTATCAGACCAGCCTGTGGCTCACGCCTGTAATCCTAGCTACTCAGGAGGCTGAGATCTGAGGATCATGGTTCAGGGAAGTCCATGAAACTCTTTATCTCCAATAAACCACTCAGAAAACTAGAAGTGGTACTGTGGCTCAAGAGGTAGAGTGCTAGCCTTGAGCTGAAGAGCTGAGGGACAGCTCCCAAGCCCAGAGTTCAAACCCCACAACTGACCAAAAAAAAAAAAAGTGGGGCTGGGAAGGTGGCTCAGTGGTAGAGAGCTTGCCTTGCATGTATGAGGCCCTGGGTTCTATTCCTAAGCACCACATAAGCAGAAAAAAGCCAGAAGTGGCACTGTGGCTCAAGTGGTAGAGTGCTAGCCTTGAGCTGAAGAGCTGAGGCACAGCACCCTGGCCCAGAGATCAGCCTCTCAAGACCAGCAAAAAAAGAAAAAAAAAAGTTTACTTCAAATTTTGTAAGTTTAACTGGCACTAGTGGTTCACACTTGTAATGTTACCTACTCAGGGAGGCTGAGATTTTTTTTCACAAGGGCAAGAGTAGAGCTATGGCCCAAGTGGTAGAGTGTTAGCCTTGAGCAAAAAGCTCAGGGACAGAGCCCAAGCCTGAATTCAAGCCAAATGGTTCAATTGCCCCCCCCCAAAAAAAATTAGGCTTATAACTGCTTAGTGACACTTAATGAAAGATTAATGCCCCCCCCTTCTTTTCTGCAGACACAGCAGGATGCCAATGCTTCTTCCCTCTTGGACATCTATAGCTTCTGGCTCAAGTAAGCCTCCCCTATCCCAGTTGGGCTATTTTCTTCCTCCAGGTGGGCTGGGCTGTCTGTGTTCCTTGTTTGAGAAGGTCCCAGTTCCCCAGAAGTTAGCCTAATTTACATCAGCAGGTCTGCCAAGGCCCCAAAGCGGAAGTTACAGACAAATGGGCCAGTGACTAAGAAGGCCAAGAAGACCTCATCCAGTGACAGCAGTGAGGACAGCAGCGAGGAGGAGGAGGAAAAAGCTCAAGGCTCTCCACCTAAGAAAGGTGGTAAGGAAGGGCAAGAGGATTGGATATGGTGATTCTCGGGTTTGAATATGCCACCTGCCCAGACTTTTTGTTTTGGTTGGTCATGGAGCTTGAACTCTGGGCCTGGGTGCTGCCCTCAGCTCTTCAGCTCAAGGCTGGTATTCTACCACTTGAGACACAGTGACACTTCTGGCTTTTTTATGGTTAATTAGAGATGAGTTTCATGGGCTTTACTGCCCAGGCTGGCTTTGAACCTTGTTCCTCAGATCTCAGCCTCCTGAATAGCTAGGATTACAGGTGTGAGCCACCAGTGCACGGCTTTAAAAAAAAATTCTACTGCTCGAGTTTGAACTCAGGGCTAGAGCATTCTCTTTTAGCTTTTTTGTCATGGCTGGTGCTCTACCACTTCAGCTTCTCCTTGACTTCCAGCTACTTGCTGGTTAATTGGAGAAAGAGTCTCACAGACTTGCAGGGTGCCAGTGACTCACCTGTAATCCTAGCTACTCAGGAGGCTGAGATCTGAGGAACAAAGTTCAAAGCCAGCCTAGACAGGAAAGTCCATGAGACCCTTATTTCTAGTTAACTACTTTTCTCCAATAAACTACTAAGAAAAAGCTGGAAGTGGCATTGTGGCTTAAGTGGTAGAGCACTAATCTTGAACAAAGAGAGGTTCAGGGACAGAGCCCAAGCCCTCCCCCGCCACCCCCCGCCCCCAAAGTCTGACTTTTCTTGGGCTGGCTTTCAACTGCTATCCTTAGATCTCAGCGTCCTGAGTAGTTAGTATTACAGGTGTGAGTCAGTGGCACTGGGCTTTACATGTTTGATTCTTACTGGGAATTGTGCCTTTTTTTTCTAGCTGTAGTTACTAAGCGGGCCAGTCTGCCTCAGCATCCTGGAAAGGCTGCAGCTAAAGCTTCAGAAAGCAGCAGCAGTGAAGAATCTAGTGATGAAGAGGAGGAGGAGGAGGATAACAAGAAAAAGCCTGTCCAGGTTTGTAGCGCTGGAAAGAGAGGTGGCTGTTAAGGATTTGGAAAGGAAGAAACCTAAAGTTATCTTCTAGCTATGGTCAAGGGGTGATGGTAGCTGTTCAGTAGTCAATTATAGGAAATAAAACTTAGGAATTTTCATGGAGATATAGAAATTTGAGGTCTGGGAAGACGGTGTGAAGCTCCATATCTAAAGGAATTCATCCCTTCTACTTTGAGAGATTTGGATCCCCCTCCTCCAATCATGGGGCTTGAACAGTGGGCCTGGATGCCGTCCTTGAGCTTTTCTGCTGAAGGCTAGGGCTTTAGCACATTGAGCCACAATATCACTTGATTTTCTGGTGATAAGAGTCTTGAAGAGTTTCCTGCCTGGCAGACTTGACCACAGTCCTAAGATCTCAGTCTCCTGAGTAGCTAGGATTACAAGTGTGAGCCACCAGCACCCTGCTAGAGGTTTAAATTCTTTAGGGGTACTGTTTAGGACTCTAAAAACTAGTGTTTTGTTGGGAGTTGTTGATGGGCCACAGTAGGAAGAGGGCCAATATATCAAGTGGCTGAATTTCTTGTTTCTTATGAAGAATATTTTACTTTTGCCATGTTTTGTCCTATTTGGGTTTCAATCACCTGTAATGCCCCACTAGGCCCCTAAAGAATACAAGGAGCCCAGAATGCCTTTTGGGTATCTTGAAACTTGCTGATTCCATTTTTAAAAAAATTTTTTTTTAAAATAGTTGTTTTTAATATTTGTTTTAAACAGAAGGGAGTTAAACCTCAAGCCAAGGCAGCTAAAGTTCCTCCTAAGAAGACTCAGAGCTCTGAGTCTGATTCTGATTCAAGCTCAGAGGATGAGACACCAAAGAACCAGAAGCCAAAGACCACACCTAAGACAGCTAAAGCTCAGCCTAAATCTCCAGGCAAACCAGGTATTTCTGATCTTCAGAGAATAGGTTAGCACCATATCATTTTTGGACTGCTGTTCAACTTGTTCATTAGGTACTAGGAGGAAATGGTAGTTTATTGAACTAAAAGTTTGGGATATTTATTTTAGTCAGTTGTGGGGCTTGAACTCTGGGTCTGGGCGTTGTCCCTCAGCTCTTCAGCTCAAGGCCAGCACTTTACCACTTGAGCCACAGCTTCACTTCTGTTTTTTTGGTAGTTAATTGGAAATAAGAGTTTCATGGACTGGGCTGGGAAGGTTGCTCAGTAGTAGAGTGCTTGCCTTGTATGCATGAGGCCCTGGGTTTGATTCCTCAGCACCCCATAAGCAGAAAAGGCTGGAAGTGGTGCTGTGGCTCAAGTGATAGAGCACTAGCCTTGAGCTGAAGAGCTGAGGGACAGTGCCCAGGCACCATAGTTCAGGCACCATGACTGGCCAAAAAAAAAAAGAGTTTCATGGACTTTCCTGCTGGCTTTGAATTGCAATCTTCACATCTCAGCTTCCAGAGTAGTGTCCTTTTTTGTTTCTTTCTTTTTTTTTTTTAAGGAACACTTTCAATAAGTGACAGGATTATACAGTTAGATAAGATAACTGTCATTGCAGCAAGTAAAATAACATTGAGACTGGATATTGCTGTGTAGCCCAGGCTAACCTTGAATTCATAGATTATACATAAATACAGTCATGCTTAACCTAAAAGTAGCTAGTTTTTCTTTGTCTTTGTGTGTGTGTGTGCTCCAGTGCTCCAGTTCTGGGGCTTGAACTCATGGCCTGGGTGCTGTCCTTCAGTTCTTTTGCTCAAGCTACCGCTTGAGCCACACCTCCACTTCTGGCTGTGTGTGTGTCTGGGTGGGGGTGGAGGGACAGTTTGTGGGGCTTGAACTCTGGGGGCCTGGGCACTATCCTTGAGCTGAAGAACTCTTTACCACTTCAGCCACAGCTTCATTTTTGGCCTTTTTGTGGTTAATTTAACATCAGTCTCTTGTACTTTCTTACCCAGGATAGTTCCTGGCTTTGAATTGTGATCTTCAGATCTTAGTCTCCTGAGTAGCTAGAATTTCAGGCTGAGGCACTGGCACTGTGCTTAGGTTGTTGCTGAGATAAGGTCTTGCTGACTTTGCCAAACCTGGCCTCAAACTCAAAATGTTTCTATCTCTACCGAGGTTGATGAGAAAGCCCTCAGACAAGAGCATATTTAAATGAGTTGTATTGTTTTTAGATAGTAGCAGTTTGATAGGAAACTCATTCTTTATTCTAAATAACCATGGTATTCTTCTTTATGGGTTGCTCAGTAGCTAAAATGGGTAGATTCAAATTCTGTGTTAGTAGAAAGATTTTCATGGTCCTCTAATTTGTCTTAATTCTACTTATGCTGTTTCTTTTTTTCATAGGTCTGCCTGCTCAAGCAGCACCTAAAGTAGCCAATGGCAAAGCAGCCAGCAGCAGCAGCAGCAGTAGCAGCAGCAGCGATGACTCAGAAGAGGAGAAGACAGTAGTAGCAGTCTCCAAAAAGGTCTGAGCCATAACCTCTGTCAGTGATAGAAGCATATAATGTGTGTATCTCCATTCCCTAGCAGGATTGTCTAGGTCACCATTTTCTGTTGATAGTCAACTTTTTCTCCAATGCAGACTGTACCTAAAAAGCAAGTGGTGCCTAAGACTACAGCGAAAGCAAGTGTCAAGCCTACCCAGGAGAGTTCTAGCAGTGAAGAGTCCTCTAGTGAAGAGGAAGAACAGCAGACAAAACCCTTGAAGAAAAAACCAGGTGATTGGACATGAGGAGTCAAGCTGCCTGACTTCTTCATAGAGCTGCTTGCTTGTTCTCATGATGTAACAACTAGCTTCTCCCAGCATGAGGAATCTAGGAGCGCAGGGAGGAAGCAATAGTGGATGACCTCTACAAATAAGTGAATGAGTTAGTAGTTCTAGTCCACACTCAAGAGAATTCTGATTCTACAAACAGCATCGAGGAAGTTTATATACTCTGTGTTTTTCTGGGGTCAAACACGGCTTTGCGTATGCTTCACAAGTACTGATCTTCTGAGCTATATTGTGGGTTGTGTCTGTGTGTGTTGTTACTGGTGCTTGAACTCAGGATCTCCCCTTCTCACTTAGCTTTTTTGCTCAAGGCTGGCTATCACCAGCTACGCTTTCAATTCCAGCTTTTTGGTGGTTAATTAGAGAAAATTCTCTTGCATTTGTCTGCCTAGATTTGGGCTCCAACTGGGATCTAGGATCTCAGTCTCCTAACTAAGATTACAGTTAGGAGCCATTGGCTGTATGTGTGTGTGTGTATTTGTATTTGTGAAAAAAATTTTTTTTTGTGTGTGTGTATGTGTATATATATATATATGTATATGTATATATATATATAGAATATATATTTAAATAACCACATTTTTCCTTTTTAAATAGGTCCGTACAGTTCAGTTCCACCGCCTTCTGCTCCCGCACCAAAGAAGTCCTTGGGAACTCAGCCTCCCAAGAAAGCCATGGAGCAGAAACAGCCCGCAGAAAGCAGTGAAGACAGCAGTGAGGAGTCTGGTGAGTCCCAAGGATGCAGTTTACCCCTGTCACTCTGGAGGAGGGTGTGTGGGATAAAAGAGAAATCCTCTATCTCTCCACTGCTTTTGGCTTAAGACAGGGCTAAGACATTGTGTCTGCATTCTTTCTGAGGCTCTCCTAGTTGGGTTGGGATTCTGGACTCAGAGTAATGCCACAGATTCTCTCTAGATTCAAGTTCTGAGGAAGAAAAGAAGCCTCCAGCTAAGCCTGTCATCTCCAAAGCAGCTCCTGCTAAACCTCCAGCAAAGAACGCGGCAGAGAGCTCTTCAGACAGCTCAGGTAAGGCATACACAGGCCTTCAGGGCAATGGAAAAGTTTCTCCCTTTGGCAGCTGCTCCAGGGTTTTCCTGATTCTTGAAGCTGTCCGTTCTGTCTGTTCTGTCTAGATTCTGACAGCTCTGAGGATGAAGCTCCTGGGAAACCAATCAGTACCACCAAGAATTCCTTAAGTAAACTAGCTGTTACTCCCAAGCCAACTACAACTAAGTCAGCTTCGGCCAAGCCAACTGCAGCCAAAACAGCTGTAGGCAAAGCTGCTGCAACTCCTAAGCAACCTGCAGGCCAGAAGCCTCTGACCCGAAAAGCTGACAGCAGCTCTAGTGAGGAGGAGAGCAGCTCCAGTGAGGAGGAGAGGACAAAGAAGACTGGGACTACCCCTAAGCCTCTGCCTGCCAAAGCAGTAGTATCCTCTCTGCCTGCCAAACAAGTTCCTCAGGGTAATGGGGACAGCAGCTCTGAATCAGACAGCTCCAGCAGTGAGGAAGAGGAGAAGGTGACACCTAAATCTTCAGTTAAGAAGACAGCAGGAGGTGGAACCCCTGCCAAGCCAGGATCTACCAAGACAGCCCCTACTAAGCCAGCCCCTGCCAAGAAAGTGGCTGCTGAAAGTAGCAGCAGCTCTTCCTCAGATGATTCCAGTGAGGAGGAAGAAGAGAAGCCCAAGGGCAAGAGCACTCCAAAATCACAAGCCCCCAAAGCCAATGGCACTGTAGCAGTGACTGCTCAGAATGGAAAAGCAGGCAAGGACAGTGAGGAAGAGGAGGGAGAGAAAAAGGCAGCATTGTCAGTGTCCAAGCCAGGTCTGTATACTGAACACTTAACCCTCTGGTTTTGTTCCCCAACACTGTAGGGATACACTCTTGGGGAATGCAGTAGACGAAGGAGACCCACCCCTAGGCAGGGAACCCAAGAAGAACAGAAAATTGGTCTGTGTGTGTGTGTGTACACGTGTGTTTACAGGTGTGTACTGGGACTTGAATTTAAGGCCTTGAGTTCTCAAGATTTTTTTGCTCCTGGCTGGTGCTTACCTTTTGAGCCACACCCATAGGGGAGCATTTGTTGGAGAGGAAGTTTCAGAATTTGCTGCCTTGGGCAGCTTCAAACCAAGATCATCAGATTTGAGGCTTCTGAGTAACCTGATCCACTGACTCCTGCCTGACTTGCTTTTTAAGGCAGTGGTTCAATATGAAGCCTAGCAGGCTTTGAATTCTCGGTCCTCTTGACACATCCTCCTGAAAGCAAGTATTATGGGTGTTTAACATCATACCTGGCTTCTGTGTCTGGCTTTGTTTTGTAGGTTCAGGAAAGAAGCGGAAGCAGAATGAGGCAACTAAGGATTCAGAGACTCCTCAAGCCAAGAAGATTAAGATCCAGACTCCTAACACATTTCCAAAAAGGAAGAAAGTATGTTTTATGTTCTCAGGAGGTAGCCCTTTAAAACAAAAGAAAAATCTAGGAGTTGGAACATGTTCAAATGGTAGAGTGCCTGCCTACCAAGCACCAGGCCCTGAGTTCAACCACAGTAGTAACCCCCTCCTCCCCCCAAACATAACAAAAAATGATAGGGGCTGGGAAGGTGGGTCAGTGGTTGAGTGCTTGTCTTGCATACATGAGGCCCTGGGTTCGATTCCTCAGCACCACATATACAGAAAAGGCTGGAAGTGGCACTGTAGCTCAAGTGGTAGAGTGCTAGCCTTGAGCTGAAGAGCTCAGGGACAGTGCCCAGGCCTAGAGTTCAAGCCCCATGACCGACCAAAAAAAAAAAGGCAGAAGAAAATGAAAATTTTAGGTTCATTATGACGCCTTGGCCAGACCTGATACCCTACATGTGTCACTAAGATGTGAAGTGACTACAATATCTTTATTTCCTACTTTATTCTCTAGGGAGAAAAAAGGGCATCTTCACCATTCCGACGGGTGAGGGAGGAGGAAATTGAGGTGGATTCACGAGTGGCAGACAACTCATTTGATGCCAAGGTGAGAAAAAGAAGATATCTGCCATTTCTTTGGTGGTGGGGCTGGGAGATGCCAGGGTTGTTTCAGGATGTCTTGAGCATGAAATAGAAAGATAAGGTGACAAGACCCTCTCTGGCATTGTCCTTGTGTATTAACTGCACTTTTCCTTACTAGCGAGGTGCAGCTGGAGACTGGGGTGAACGAGCCAATCAGGTTCTGAAGTTCACCAAAGGCAAATCCTTTCGGCATGAGAAAACCAAGAAGAAGCGGGGCAGCTACCGGGGAGGCTCCATCTCTGTTCAGGTCAATTCTATTAAGTTCGACAGCGAGTGACCTAAGGCTACCCCTGACAAAGCAAGGGTGATAAGGGAGGCCACTCACCTGTGGTGGACCTAGGAACTCTGCTCCGTTAGTGGAAAGTCTTGGTATGAACAGAAGTTCAGAGTAGGTCCTAAGACTTTGCAACGTAACATTCTCTTCGGTCCTTTTTTATGTTCCAAGTTTTGTACAGATTTGTTTTTGAGTGTCAAGGACATAGTAAGAAGAATGTTGTTTTTTAAGAATCTGTTCTAGTTGTCATTCTCTTCTTCCTGTTCTGTGAAAGTCCTCATACTGAGAAATTTGTATATTTTATATTAAATAATTTCTTATTAATTTTTGTTGTGATTTTCAGAGGTGGACTCCCACACATAAAATTTAAGCAATTAAATAAGACATAGTAAATAATCCCATATAAAATTTTATAATTAGGAGATTCTTCCTGCGTGAATGCACATGTCTATATTTTATCCCTCTTTTCAAAGCCCTGGTGAGAGACAGTTTTAAAGACTGGTTAACGTATGTGTTTATATCTGTTAAGCATGCACTATCATCCTCATTTGAGTATGGGACTAAAGTTTTCAGCCAGTGTGGACCTACAACTTCGGGGATAAAAGTTACTGTTTTTGTAACATTTTGCCCTGTAAAATGCAGATAATTTGAGTGTGTGGAAGTCATGGGTCAGACTGAATATTTCATTTTCTGCAGTTTTGTCAGTGTTACATAATGTTTGCAGTACATCTTTTGTTTTTAATTTGAAGCAAACATTAGTACCGTTAAAAGGCATTTTTCAGTGACTTGACATGCTAGTGGTATACTGAGGAGAGGATTGGATCTTTTGTTGTATATATGATCCAGAACAAAATCCCATTGATTTTTTTGTGAAAAGTGCATTTCACTTCGTATTTATCTGTTGGTAGCAGTGATGACACAAAATTGATGAATTCCTTCTACCTGGTTGGGTATCACTGACAAGAATGTAGGGAAAAGAACTGTACTATAATTAAATCCCTGATCCTTAGTAGGAATTAGATTGGTTGTATTAGGTGGATTCATTGGTAACCTCTATGTGTTCGTAGAGGTAGAAAGAATTTTACAAAATTGTAAAATTTCAGTAGAGTTCGATTAGGAGAGCATTCTAATAGGATTGCTGCGTTTTTAAGTTAGCACTGGGAGCTAATCCATGGGCTCCCCTTCAGAAGCCTAACTAACAGTGAAATAACAATAAACAGCAGGACTGGGGATAGCTCAGTGGTAGTATGCTTGCCTAGTGTTTTTGTGAGGTTCTCTGAATTAGACGTCTGACTATTAAGCTTAGCCAGAGCAAAGGGGAGGGAAGAGTCTAGTTTTTGAGAGCATGGGCTGTCCCTGTATGTGGAAGTATAGGTCTTAAGAGCTTCCCCTAGTTTGGATTCCACACTTCTAAATAACCCTTATAAAACCTGGTTCTTTGTGTAACTACCTTGAGGAAGAAAAGCACCCTTCATGCTGAGCTGACCTACGTGTTTCAGTCTGCATGGTAAAAGTTTTACATCTGATTACAAAACAATAAACTGGTTTATCATGTGTGTTGGGAATTTATTATTATTTTATTTTTAGCTTTTTAATTTTTTTTTTTTTTTTGGTCAGTTGTGGGGCTTGGACTCTGGGCCTGGGCGCTGTCCGTCAGCTCTTCAGCTCAAGGTGAGCAAGCACTCTACCACTTGAGCCACAGCACCACTTCCGATTTTCTGGTGGTTAATTGGAGATAAGAGTCTCATGGTCTTCTCTGCCTGGGCTGGCTTTGAACTGTGATACTCAGATTTCAGCCTCCTGAGTAGCTTGGATTACAGGCATGAGCCACTGGTACCCAGCTGGAAATTTTATTATTGAGTGTGACCTGGAACAGGTTGGGTGCCAAGAGAGGACCATGGTCCAGACCTGCCTGTACATTTGCTACGGAAACTTCCAGGGTACCCACTTGTTGCCTCTTCCTCACATGTCCAAACTTTGTTCTAGGTAGGATATTAATACATAATTTAGAGTTTAGCAAAATGGCCATGAGCCAAATCTAACTAATGGTTTTTGGCTACAGTTGAGTTTTTTTTTTTTTTTTTGGTGCTGGTCCTGGGGTTTCTTGAATTCAGGGCCTGGATGCTGGTCCCTGAGACTTGCTCAAGGCTCATCGGTCTCTACCATTTGAGCCATATCCGTTTTGACTTTGTGGTGTTAATTGGAGATAAAGTCTGATGTACTTTTCTGCCTGGATGGGCTAGCTTTGGACCAGGATCTTCAGATCTCAGCCTCCTGAGAAGCTAGGATTACAAGTGTAAGCTACCAGCACCCAGGTGTAAGAAAGGTTTTTAAAGTTTTGTGTGTGTATGTGTCAGAGGCTTTGCAAATGGTCCACAAAGCCCAAAGTACTTTATATATGGCCTATGTATTCTGTCAAACCCAATAACTACAAACCTTAGACTATGTAATTCCTTCACCAGAATTATCTAAGGAATCTAGAAACATTGACACATGGAGGTCCATCCCCAAACTTGAGTCAAGCTGGTGCTCTGTATTGCAGTAAAGTGAGTTTGTAACAATCCCCAATTCGCCTAATGAGCAACACAAGTTGAAAACCTCTTAAGTACTTAAAAAGATGGCACTTTGAGCTGAGCATGGTGTCATATGTCCCTTCCTGTACTCATACCTTTAATCCTAGCTACTTGGGATTCAGAATGTGTGTATCAGTTCAAGGCCAGTCTGGACAAGAAAGGTTTGAGACTCCTTTCTTTTTTATTTATTTATTTATTTTTTATTTGTGAACATACTGTACAGAGGGGTTACAATTACATGGGCAGGATAATGCATACATTTCTTACCAAGCATTGCAGCCACCTCCTTTGGTTTACCCTTCACATCCCTTCCCAGCCTTCCCCCTCCCCCCCCATGAGACTCCTTTCTTAAACCATAACTGGCACTGGTGATATCTATCATCCTAGAGCTGTAGGAGGATTGAGGTGCCAGGTCAGCATAGCAGAGAAAGCTGATCCTGGCAGTGACCTGTCATCCCAGTTAAGCATAGATCAGCTGGGTGCCAGTGGCTTATGCCTATAATCTTAGCTACTCAGGAGGCTGATATCTGAGGATCACAGTTCAAAGCCAGACCAGGCAAGAAAATCCCTGAGATTCTTATCTCCAATTAACAACCAGAAAACCGGAAGTGGCACTGTGGCTCAAGTGGTATCCTTGAGCTGCAGAGCTCAGGAATAGTGCCCAGAGTACAATCCCCACAACTGACCACCACCACCACCCCAAAAAAAAAAAAACAGCATAGATCAGCTAGACACCAGTGGCTTACGCCAGGAATCGTAGGTACTAGTGCAGCAGAGATCTAAGGATCACAGTTCAGAGCCAGCCCAAGCACAAAAGTCTATCAGTCTCATCTCCAATGAAGTACAAAATAAAAAACTGGAAGTAGAGTTGGGTGCCAGTGGCTCATGCCTGTAATCTTAGCTACTTGAGACTCTTCCTTAGCTATTTGAGACTCTTATCTCCAATAAACCACTAGAAAACTAGAAGTGGCATGGTGGTTCAAGTGGTAGAGCGCTAGTCTTGAACTGAAGAGCGCAGGGACAGTGCCCAAGCCCAGAGTTCAAGCCCCAAGGCCGACCAAAAAAAAAGCTGGAAATGGAACTGTTCCTCATGTGGTAGAGCACTAGCCTTTGGGCAAGAAAGATGAGGTACAACACTGAAGCCCTGAGTTCAAGTCCAAGACTGGCGCCAAAAAAAAAAAAAAAGTGGCATCAAATCCAGAGCCTTGAGCCTGCTAAGTAAAAGGCTCTACTATTGACCTATCCTCTAAGACAGACTATAATTTGTAATTTCAGCAACAATTTATGGAAGTGACTTTGCTTTCTCAATGGCTAACGCTACCAAATTCATCTTTGCTGCTTGAAAATACTATCATATTTTTGTTTTGTGGTTATGATAAAACAATAATATATTACCTTATCTATTTTTTCCTTTTTTCTTTTAACGTTTTATTTTATTGTTAAGACGCTATACAGAGGAGTTACAGCTACATGAGAAAGGTAATATGCTTCTTGTCAAACATTGTTACCCCCTCCTTTGTTTTTCACCTAGCTTTTCCCTCCCACACACATCTTTTCCCCCCAAGTTGTAAACTTTCATTTCCAACATATTGTCTTGTATCACTGTTGCAATTGGTCATCCTGCGTCCTTGTTTCAGCATATTGTTACGGCCCTTCCCCTCCCCAAATTAGATAAACGTATATATAAGATGCAGGGGACCAAAATCAAATACGGTGACAACAGGATATTCCATAGGGGGAAGAACATACAAAAGAAACAAAAACACATTGTGCATTAAAAATAATGACAAAAACCTCTTGTGTTCCTATCTTGGGGTTATTTTCGTGTAGCATCATCTTTTTTTTTATTGTGAAAATACTGTACAGAGGGGTTACAATTACATGGGCAAGATGAGTACATTTCTTATCAAGCATTGTAGCCTCCTCTTTTGTTTCCCCTTCCCATCCCTTCTCATCCTCCCCTCACCCCCCAGCATCATCTTTTATGATCATATGTACATGGCTTTTGAGCTTTTCTGTTCATCTGATAAGATTATCCTAGACCTATACTAATTAATTGTAAATAAGGGAAACCATGGGACCTATATTTCTTTGGGTCTGGTTTACTTAATATAATTTTTCCAAGTCTCTTTCCATTTCCTAACAAATGGGGCAGTGTTATTCTTTTTGATGGAAGCATAGGAAAAAAATGGAACACTTGATGAATTTGTGTGCATCCTTGCACAGAGGCCATACTTTTTAGTATATGTACTGCCAAAGTGAGTACTTTTTTTTGTTGTTGGTCATAGGGTTTGAACTCGGCCTGGGCACTATCCCTGAGCTCTTCAGCTCAAGGCAAACTCTCTACCACTTGAGCCTCAGTACCACTTCTGGTTTTCTGATAGTTAATTGGAAATAAGGGTCTCGGGGATGGAAAGGTGGCTCAATGGTAGAGCACTTGCCTTGCATGCATGAGGCCCTGGATTCGATTCCTCAGCACCACGTAAGCAAAAAGAAAAAAGCCAGAAGTGGCGCTGTGGCTCAAGTGGTAGAGTGCTATCCTTGAGCTGAAGAGCTGAGGGACAGCGCCCATGCCCAGAGTTCAGGCCCCATGACCATACCCCCCAAAAAAGAAAAAAAGTCTCATGACCTTTCCTGCCTGGGCTGGCTTTTAACCATGATCCTTAGATTTCAGCCTCCTGAGTAGCTAGGATTACAGGCATGAGTCACCAGCACCTGACAGGAAAACATTTCTAACTGGCCAAGTTTTAGATCTGCCTGGACACCTGTTTAAGATGTCTGATGTTACTGAAGAAGCCAGTAGATGACGCTCTTGTCTACTGTAGAGAACTTGATCAGACTATTTGGACTAATTCCACAAGTTAGTTGAATGGACTCCAGAAGTTCACAGCAAGAGAACCCACTCCTGGATGTATCTAGAGCTCTTTACAGAGGGTGAACCTATCTATTTGAGCTTCTGGAATAAATGTGACCCAGGCCCTGGAAGGCTAGCTGCAGGAGATACGGAGCCTCCTAACCCTCCCCGGGTGAAAATACAAAGAAGAAAAAGGAAGTAATTATACTGAAGGGAGAATACTGGCTGCTTTTTAGGGGAAAGGAGAGTCATGACTAGGCAGATCAGCTTCAGTGAAATGAGCAGTATATTCTGCTTTGAGTCCAATTGTGATTGAATAGTTTATTAAGGCTTTTTGTTCCAGTCCTGGGGCTCAATTTCAAGACCTAGGCACTGTTGCTAAGCAGTTTGTTTTATTTTGGTCGATTATGGGGCTTGAACTCAGCCTGGGTGTTGTCCCTCAGCTCTTCAGCTCAAGGCAAGCACTATACCACTTGAGCCACAGCTCCATATCTGGTTTTCTGATGGTTTAGTGGAGATAAGCGTCACATAGACTTTCCTGCTGGGCTGGTTTTGAACCGCGATCTTCAGATCTCAGCCTCCTTAGTAGCTAAGAATACAGGCATGAGCCATCAGTGCTCAGCTGTTACCGAACTGTTTTGTTCAAGTCTAGTGCTCTAACACTTCCAACTCTTTTAGGTGATTAATTGGAGATGAGAATCTTATGGACTTTCCTGCCAAGGCTGGCTTTGAACTCAAACCTCAGATCTCAGCATCCTCAGCATCCTGACTAGCTAGGATTTTGGTATGCGCTATTGGGTGTCCAGCTTCCCCGCCCTCCCTGCCTTTTATTTTTTATTTATTTATTTTTTTTGTCGGTCGTGGGGCTTGAACTCTGGGCCTGGGCGCTGTCCTTCAGCTCTTCAGCTCAAGGCGAGCGCTCTACCACTTGAGCTACAGGGCCACTTCCGGTTTTCTGGTGGTTTATTGGAGATAGGAGTCTCACGGTCTCTCCTGCCCGGGCTGGCTTTGAACCGCGATCCTCAGATCTCAGCCTCCTGAGTAGCTTGGATTACAGGTGTGCCACCAGCGCCCTGCCTTTTATTTTTTTGGGGGCGGGGTCTGGCTGTGGGGTCTGAATTCTGGGC